GAAAAATATCACTTCACATTCAAATCACAATTATACTGAATTGAAAATACCCGCCTGTACTTAACACACACACACACACATATATTGCGCGTGTGGTGCGAGCTACTTATAAGTAGTATATGACGTGAGTGTCAACGTAATGTCTGGCAGCAGAAGATGGGGGGAAGATCAAGAAAGGAAGAAGAGTGGGAACACAATGGAATTTGTATGAAACGCATGAATAGTAGTGACAATGGATTGATGTTGTTTGCAACAGGAACAGTCCAGTTCGATATGATGAACTGATATTTTGCAAATTAACACGATTTACGATATGGTTTTCCGATTTTACTGAGTAACTCTGTAATTTTCGTTAAATACAATCCGGTTGCCCCCACCTGTGTTCTCATTCACTACAGGCGTTCTAATCACTTACTCTTAATTTCTATACATATTTACTTACTACCATATTGTACCTTCCACGGTGTGGGCAGCCGGGAAGTGACAACCGCCCTCATACCCGTAACAGCACGAGAGACCAAATTGGTCAAAATCAAATCCTTCCTACACCCCCTAATGTCTCTCTTATCTCTACGACTAACTCTACTCACACTCCCTTTTCTCACTGCACCGCTAATGCAAACGAAACGAGATCACGAAACGTCGTTGCATCTGACTGACTGACTGACTACCATATTGTGTATGGTAATAATAACTTTTTAATTATTCAAACTATACTATCAATTATAATGATGAAATAAATGTGTTACGTAATTCCAAAAATTAATGCTGCTATTGTTGATTTTTTTTCCTTAAAAAACTAATAATAATTTAGAAGTACTTCCACCCCGAAAGGTTGGTTTCAAGGTCATTCGTTTGTAAAAAAGAATCTGCACAAACCGGCTACATGTCATCATTGTTCAGATCTTTTATGGGGAATATTAGGAACAACAGGAATGGTTTGTGAAGGTCAGTTTGTGATTACAAGATTAATTTCTTTCTAAAGGTTTTTTTTAAATTTATTTTGTTCCCGCGTTAATTTCGCGTGATAACTCATCTTCACTGATTGATTATTGTGAATTATTTCACAATTTCATTGTCGTTTTTTAACTCTAGTTAACTAAATACACAGATGTTTATTATAAATTTTTTAAGTGTATTTAATAAGTAACTGTTTGAAGATAATGGATAGTGTCTAATAGTACAATCCATGGCGGACATACGCTCGCACACACACACACACACACAGACACGCCGAAGTGACTAGTCAACTGAAATTCTAAACGTCAAAGGGAAGATGCAAACAATCAATACAAATGTGTACACTGGTAATGTTTCAGAGTTAAATGTCGATGGAATACAATGGACAGCTAGGATGCAGCTGACCAATCTAGATATCACAGATGATCTGGCTGTTCTGTTGCACACGCAACAACAAATGCAAGAGAAGAAGACCAGTGTAACAGCAGACTCAGCAGCAGTAGGTCTTAACATAGGCAAAGGGAAAATAAAGATTTCCCGGTAAAATGAAACATGCAACAACCAAATCTTACTTGATGGAGATGCTTTGGAGCATCACTGACGAGCAAGGTGGATCTGATGCAGATGTGAAGGCGTGGATCGGC